TCAATTTGTTTTTTTTTTTTTTTTTTTTTGTTACCGGAGATTGAACTCGGGTCCTTACATTTGCGAGGCAGATGGCAGAACTACTGAGCCAAATCCCCAGCCCAATATGCTCGTTACAGGCTCCTTAAAGCAAGGAGGAGGAATGGGAAGAGGAGAAAGAAGCAGGAGGAGAAAAAATTAGGACAGTATGTATGTTCCTATCTGTTTAGCAACCTACTTGTTTAATCACTGTTTGGACTTAAGACTACACTGCACTGTTTGGACTTATGACCTGTCTTTTTGTTTTTGTACACTTCTGTACATCTGATTTATAGACCCTCAGTGTCTTTTTTATGTACAGTACATCTTATTTATACAGTACTGTAATTTTTGCTGGCTGTAGTATATAGTACTACAGTCTTACATTCTGTTATACATTACAGTACTGCCCGTAAGAGTTGTGCAAATAGAAGCAAAGTCATCAAGTTGGAGTTTCCTTTGACCATATTTTTGCTCTGAATATATTGTACATACTACATACAATTCCTCACTTAGCAACCAATGCATTTACTGACCTAGTCACAGCAACAGAACTTGGCTGTTAAATGAGAAATGTCTATAATCTTATTTCCCTGTTCCAAAAGCAAGTAACACTGGAGACAGAGTGTAGCTAGCTAGACATTAACAACTGTGTCTGTTGGTCTCTAATAGCACAAAGTAGTGACAGGAGCCTGATTTTCAGAAAACAGATAGATGAATTCAAAACCTAACTTCATCAGGTAGAAGCTGTGTGACCCTGAAGAAGTCAATTAGCCTCTCCTTTGTTTCTTTGTCCACCCATAAAAATAACCCTACCTACCTCCCAGGGCTGAGAAGACAGTGCACCATGCCTGGCCAGCAAGGACAACGCTTTTCCCATAATGTGGAATCTAATCTGGAAGGTTGGTCACTCCTGTGTACACTGTACCAGAAAATGGGAACACAGCCAAAGTGGTCAAATTTATTTTTTATTAAAAAACAAGTTAAATAAAATAGTGTCCCATGATATATAAAACTGCCCTGGAGTCCAAAGTTCATGGTGCAGAAGGCCCAGAAGGTGGAGACAAAAATGTGGCTGTGGGAGTTTCTTTCTCTTCATATCTCGGGGGCAATTCCAAAGAGACTCGTGGAGTGTGTGAGATCTCAGGAGGCGAGTGAGTCCCAGAAATGGTGTATATAAATTCGTGCTCTTGCTCACTGGCCCCGTCCCGGTTCTCAGGGGCTAAGGTCCTGCTGAAAAGAAGGACAGGGACTAAGAAGAGGAGAAGACGAAAACAATGACACCCATAAGTACTAGGTTCCTTTCAAAGGTTTAATGACAGGCATTTAGAGCATCTGCCCCTGGTCTAAGGGGGTAATTTCCCCCACGTTTGACTTTTTATAGATCTGTTTTATTCCTCACCCCTTACTTTTCTTAGAGCTGCTTGGCTGCTTATAATATTAAGACAGGCTTGCACCTGTTGTCGCTCTCTATCACTGAAAAGGCACTGAGTTCAAAAGCCTAGATGCCATCCAAATAGAACATACGCACAGCAGCCGCAATTTAGTTTATGTCAGTAGACATCAATTTTAGGGTTTGGGGATATTTGTCATCAGAGGGGAAAAAAATAAAAACTTCATTACTAGAACTCTCAAGTGTCCAGCCACAACCTGCCCTTTCTCTCCACAGGGTGACTCCTCCCTTCACTTGCTCACTACCCACCCTGGTGAAGTTTGCCTGTCTCCTCCATCCTCACCTGCCACCTGTCTCTCCGCCCCATCAGATAACGGGCCCCCTACTTTTTTGGAAAAGGGGTCTCTACACAGCTCCACTACCTCCAGGACCTCAAGGAAAGATAGGTGTCCCCCGGCCCCTGTCTCTAGGTCCCACACACCTTGGCCTGCTCTAGAGAGGGGGAGCAGAGGGGTCCTTCCTCCACAGGGTGCTTCCTGGAGTTGAGGAGGTGGAAAATAGACCCTAAACACAGGAGGAAGTTAGTAGCTGTCCCCAGAAGTGGTCACAAAGGCCTGCGGATCTCACTTCTCTTGCTCTCAAAGCAGCACCTTTTCCTGGTCAGGAAAGCCAATCTCACCAGGTCCTACTGAACCCTTCTCCTTTGCCCTGTGATCTTTCCCAGCAATGCTTCCCTCTCTTCTTCTCCCTGGCCTCTCCTTTGGGAACATGTCCCCGATGCCTTCTCTGACACTGGTTCCTCTGGGCCATGTTTCCAGGGGCTGCAAAAGCCCGCCCCTGCCTGGCACTTTCCAGAACTCCTTCCTGGCACACCTGCCTCCTCTGTTGTCTGCAGCACTCTGACTCTTTGCCCTCCTGGTTTCCACACCATCTCTGGTGCTTTCATTCTTTCATAAGACTCGGACCCATCCAGTCTCTTTCTAACATCACCCCTTACTGTCCCTCGACCTCTATCCAGGTCGGCCTCCTCCCAGCTTACAGTGAGCTGGTCTCCATCTCCTTCACAGTCGGGCACTGCCACATTGCCCAACAGCTCACCCTGGAAAGCCCCTTTTTCTCAGCACCAGCCAGCAGGCAGCCCTCATACTGCTACAACCTCACAAGGCCTTGGAACTGACACATTTCAGCGGATTGGAATGTGGACCTCAGGCTTCTCCTTGGTCAGCCTTCGTTGGCTCGAAGGCCCAGGGAGCTGTAGAGGGAGGGGACCAGCTGGGATCAGGTGTACACTTTAGCCAGTCACCCAAGCTCCTCCATCAGAGAAGTGAAATTTTCTGTACCAGCTGAAGGATCCCAAACTTCCCCACAATCTAAAGCAGTGAACCCTAAGAGGCAGGGTCCCCCAGGCGGTGCTGCAAGGCTCAGTCTGACTGATGGGCTGTGGAGACACTTTGAAGGCTACCTCTGCGAGAAAAGCATAAAGACACTGAAAAGGGAGTCTTATTTCCCAAGTTTAACTACTCTTATCATTTTAAACTTAGTGCTGCCCAAAGCTTCCTGATAAGAACTGTTAATGACAAGGCAACAATCATGGCATAACACTAGCAAACAAGATACTCAATAGTCTAATACTTACTGTTGTATCTCAGCCTTAAAGCTAGTCTGGTCCAAGTTTAGGCCTACACTTGAGAAGTTCACACAAGCCCACTCTGAGGTCCCAAGGGGAAGTCTTACCCATGGCTGAAAAGGCTGAAATAAGGAGGAGGGCTGTCGGTGGGAAGCAAACTGTTGGCCCCAGGACTTTGGCTTCCTGCAGATGTGGAAGACTCGGGAAAGTACGGTGGCGGCGGGGGTGGGAATATTATCACTGAGTCACCTGGGGAAACACAATATTTGGTTGAAGACAGCAGGGTAATAAATGGAGGCAAATTACCTAGAGCAAAATAAACTGATTCTAATAGTAGTTCCATTATATACAATAAAGCGTCAAAACAGCTGCGGCTCACACCAGATTTTAAAAGTAGGCCTATCCATTTAATATGTAAAGTAGAACAGGTTACCAGGGGCTGGGATGAGGCTGGAGAGGGGAAGGAAAGGGGAAATTTCTGTTTGAGAAGATGGAAAAACATTCTGCAAATCAGCAGGGATGACAACGGTACAACACTGTGAGTGTATTTAACGCCATTGAATCCTACATTTGAAAGTGGTTGAAATGGTAAATCTTATGTTACATATATTTTACTGTAAATTTTAAAAAGTGAGCCTATATTTCAGAGCCCAAGTGTTCCTCATCACAGCATGGACATGGCCTCTCTTTCCTGGCCAGTGTGAGTTAACACACTCACGTGTGGTGCTTGCTAACAAGCTTCCTCACCTAGTGGAAGAAATGTTTACTGCTGGAACAGCTCTCCTCATGCTCACCTGGTAGTTTTAAACAAAAGCCAGTTGTGGGGTAAAGGGTCAGTTCCTCAAATGTAGCTCCAGCCTCTGAACGTGACAATAAGCCACACTCTCCACCAGTCAGTCCACCAAAACTTACCCAAGCTGTACAGGTGAAGGTCAAACTCAAAGGAAAGCTGGGTTTTTGTATTTCTGTTGCTATTGTGAGCTCCGGAACACACCCTTGTGTTTTCAGGAGAAACTAGGGGCCAAGCTCCAACCTGTATTTCCATTCCAGGACATTGGGACTCCAATGCACTGCAGCAAAGGAGTCGCCCAGAACATTCTAGGTGTGCAGCACCCCCACTATTACAGATTCAAGGAACGCCTCTGCTAAGTTGGCCACACAAGGAAGAGTGGAGGAGGAGAGAGAACATATTTCCATCTGGGGAGAAGACTGGTTGGTACCGGCAAATCTGCAGGTTCTTTAAAGGCACAGGAGTTCCATATGCTAGTGACCAGGCAGCATGGCCCTGAACACACTCTCTGACCTCTCTGGGCCTCAGCTGCCACAGCTGTCACCAGCAGTGGAACACTGCCTGCCTCAGAAGTACTACACTCACTGGCAGTCTCTGGCCAGAAGATTCAATCATGTCCCTCCAAATAACTCAATCTTTCAGAAAATGCATTCACTCCACCTCTCTGTCTGCAAGGAAATGGCAATTACAGCTTAAAATATAGCCCACTAATCTCAACTTGAAAAAGCACAAGGGCTCTCTTGGGTCTCTCTTTTTAAGCTTCTAGAAGGTCTCAGTAGGTCAGAGGAATTGGGGCTGAGTGTTCGCTTTAATTACACAATGCAGAATACAGGATGTGTGAAATAAGCTTCAGGGCAGGCCATCACCCGTCAAAAACAAACAAGGAAGTGCTCCCAGTGACCCTGTTATCTCCAAGGGCAGCCATCTCTCTGCCCAATCAGCAGGCGTCCACACCTTGCCATCTCCTGTCTCCCAGGCTTCCCCTTTCACTATACCCTTCAGAACTTGTCCTCTGAGCAGTGACACCATCCACCTCTGCAGAAGGAAGCTCTCATACACCTGCTGCTGTGCCCAAGATCTGGCACTGAGCACGTCCACCGTGGAGAGAGCAACCGAACACATAAACTCTCTCTCTCTCCTGGCCTCCACAGGGAGAAAATGATACCATTTCCCAGATTCAATGTGTTAAATGTAAAAGGTTTTGAACTATCACAGTCAGATTCAGAACAGTGACACCTGACCCTGCCCGGGAACAGCAGCTGCCACTCTGCTGCCTTCCTGCACCCAATTTCAGCCACCAGGTGGGAGGGTGGGCTGCGAACTTCTCCCCTGCTAGCAAACCCAAAGAGCTTCTCCCAAAGCTCCAACAGGTGAACATCCCATGAACGCACTGCTTCATGCCCCAGTGTGCTCACCAAAAGGACTGAGAGTATCTGTAGCACAGGGGGAGGCTTTTTCTCATGTAATAAGTACTAAGAAGATCTGGTGAAGGATGAACACTCACACCCCAGTGCCCAGGCAAGGGTGCTGTGCTGTGCATTGCCCGCTCACCTGGGTCTGGAAGCTGCCCTGCCACGTGCTCATTTGGGATCTTTGGCCAGTTATTTGCTATCTCCATCCCTCCCTTTCTTCATAGCTAACCAGGAGCAGCCTCACTGGGCTGCAGTAGGTATGAGTTGCTTTGGCACAGTGGGCCCGTTAAAACACCTAGAGGGCATTTGGCCCAGAAATAGACCCTCTATAAGTGATGAATATATAATTAATATTTCTGTTGTCACCATAAAATAAATGCATGAGTAAGTGAACTGAGAGCATCTGCTCTGGCTCAAATCCCAATGCTCTCCCCTCCAAGGCTGCTGCCACACCAAGCTGGCAGTGGCTCCTTCCTCTATTCTGCAGGCAGCAAATGAGCACGGTGGTTTCCCGCAGAAAGCCTCAGCCTAGGAGCGCCTCACCTGTCACACTTCTCTGTACCTTCTACCACTTGTGCCCCGGAGCCCTTTTAACCCAGCCTTTTAAATGCCAAGGCTGTGATATCAGAGCTTTAATCTTTCCAAAGCAGTAGACTGAAATAAAATGGGTATTTTGCAAATGAGTAAAAACTTGCAAATGAGTAGATCAAGTTTTTCCTGAGTGTTTGCAGCTGATGTTAAAGTCAACTACAGAGCTCAGGCAGGGGGCTCTGGGAAATGGTGATCCACTCCTTCTGCAGAATCCAGGGACCCAAAGGAATTTCTAGGCGTTCCATGGAAGGAAGAAGTGCTGCAGCACCTCATCTCAGGCTGTGCCATTGCTTCCAAACCTTGGCCAACCCTACAGCCAAGGATGAAGTTACAGAAAGTGAACAACAGACTGGAAAGCAGTACAGGTCCCACCCTGCAAAACCATTTGAAGACTGACAGACTTGAGACAGACTTGGATTCCTAGGATGCTCATGCTGGAAGGAATCCAAAAATTGCAATGCTCATTTTTACAAATATATAAATTAAGGCAGAAGAGGTTAAGTATTTATCAAGGACAGCCAGCCAGTGATGGCCAGCACTGTGCCGCAACGGAGAGTGCTACAGGTTTCAGTGTGAAATAACAGAGAAATAGGAGTTACTCAATGTGACAGAAGGCTCCAAGGCTGTGTTTATGGTTCTTCTTACTTTCCTCTTAGTTTGCCGTATGACCTCAGTCAAGGTCAGCACTTAGGCGCTCCATTTCTTTTGCTAAGTAATTAGGTTCCTGGGAGGAAACAAGGATATCTGTGGGGCTTCCTATGGCAACAGCACTATGTGGGCATGAAGGATGTGTGTATGGGGGCGGGGGTGCGTGGGAGAGAGGACTTGGGACAAAATACCTAGATCAGACCAGCCCAGAGAAGACTTGCAGCAACAGCCGCCCCAATATAAGCAAGGGCAGGAATGACTGCACTCACCCACAGTGACGTGGACAGGCTCTGTGCTGGGGACATGTCCCTCTTCGCTCTCAGAGGCATCCTGGCTCACACTCAAGTTGTTTTTCTTCTTAACATGGGCAACCACAAAGAAACACAATCCCATGAGCACAATCAACGGCCCCATGATCTGCAGGGAAAGGAACCCACAGATCTGGGACTCTGTGTTGGTAGTGTCCGTCTCATTCAGTGGGTCCTGTGCCCAGTCTGAGCTACATCCAGGGACCCAAATGCCCAGGATGCTAATGAGCAAGCCACTTGTCAAGAACAGAAACCCAAAGATCAGGCACTGGGCAAACTGGCGGCTCTCTCCACAGAGGAAAGCTTGGTTAGAGTCGACCTGGTTGCCTCGCCGCCTTCCCACCAGTAGCTGAAGTCGTGCCCGGGAGCGGGCCAGTATCACAGCACCGAGCCCAACCACTGCACATGAGGGCCCAGCAACCTTCAACACCATGCTGCAGTCTGGGAGAGGTTCGTATTGGCAGGCCTGGTACCCAAAGATGGAGAGCAGGAGTCCCACACACAACAGGACAGCACCAAAGACAAAGAGGAAGAAAACGAGCTTGCTGGTGCGCCTGTCCCGCTCATCCCCATCTGGTTCAGCAATGGCTATGGTAGACATGGTCAGAAAAGGTGCCTTCCTTGCGGTGAGATGGGATGGGTTTCCTTTACTCCAACTGGCTTCAGAAATCTGCAAACACAAACAAATGCCTCATTAAAGCAGGCACACGTGTTTCTGACCAGCCCTGTTCTTTTGCTGGCCATTTCAGAAATCACCCTAGGATGAAATCATACACTGTAGAACAATGAGTTGGTTTCTGAGTCAGAAGCACTGGCACTCAGAAACTCTTCAATGTGCAATTTTATGGAGATACTTTAAAAAAGAGGAAATTCAATTACCATGCATCTGAGATAAGAGTATTATAAAAATAAAATAAAATAAATAAAACTGGGTGCGGCTTTTCCCTTTTGGGAGTCTTAGAAATTCACTTCCCCTGGCAAAAATGAAACAGTGGGGAAAGAGGGGAGAACCACAGAGGTTGCTGCTTTGCCATGCCCCACACTTCGTCAAAGCTGCTCTGAGCATTTCCAAGTCAGTAAATTTTTGTACAGTTCCATTTCCTGTTTTAGACTTCAGCAGCTTTTCATTTCATGCATTATTCTAAGGCTTCATCTACAGAAGACCCATGTCAAGCAGCTTCAACAGAAGGGAAAAATAGAACCACACTGGGGCTGCACACACATACACACACACACACACACACACACACACACACACACACACACACACACACAGAGTCTGGTGGCCTGGGGCTCAGGGATGACCCTGGAGAGCAAGGGGAGTCCCATCTCCAAAAGAGCAAGTAAAGTACCTTCCTCCACAGTGCCACCCACTTCCACAAAGAGATCATACTCAGTGAAAGTAAGTAGCCAACAAAATCACCAGCTACAAAGTACTAAAAACGCAAGAGACCTTGACTCTGAAAGAATATAAGTGGAACCAACTGGGAAAGCACTTGCCAGAAAATCGCCAGAGCCCTGTGCTTCAAAGGTATTCTATTTATATTTATCAAATAGTTGGTCAAGAGCTGTCTAGTTTACACAGTGCTGACACTATCATCCAGTTACCTTTGCAGTTTTTAAGTGGGGCACTCACAAAGGCAAGCCCACTTGCACAAGGAAAGAAAACTGTAAAAATATTTGTTCTTCCCCAATCCACAATCACACATGGAGGAGTTCAAGACTGAGGCTCTAAGGCCAAGACCAGCTTGACAAACCAAGACCATGTGGAAGGAAGGAGGGACAGATGAGGTGAAGAAAGCAGACAGTTGATTTTATCCCAGGAAGTACTTTTCCAGGAAGAAGTATGATAGAATCAGAAGGAAGTCAGAGAAAAAAAAGGGAAATACAGGAGGCAAATAAGCTTTTACCTCACATTTGGGGAAAAATACGTTTTATGAAGATGTTATTAAGCTGAGAGAAAGACTTAAAGTACTACACTAATGTAAAAACTTTCCCCCACCCTCAATCCTATATGCCCATTGCTGATCTGGGAGATAAGGGTGCTTCTCAGCTACAAACTCCTATCTGAAATTCACTGTATTACTGGTATCTTAACCTGCAGTGAGTCACCACACTTCAAATGTAGGAAGGCAAATTCAAAAACACTAATAAAATAAACATGCCCCAAACTGTATTTGTACCTTCTTTTCCCTGGTCTAGCAGAAAGAACACCTTACCCAAAAGTGTTATGGTAGCCTCAGCTCCCCCACACACACACTCAACAAAGGGACACATTGAATCGGCCATACTAATAGAAAATTAAACAGAAAATTAAAACATTTCCAAATACCAATCTAAACTTTCCCCAAAGCCAAATTCCCCTCACCAGAGCCAAATTTTCAAAAGACATTTCTAAATCAACAGCATCTCTCTAGGTCCAAAGTTCTAGTGGGTTAATGAGGGAGGTAAAGAGAAACAAGACTCTTTCTTAGGAAAGAGTTCTGTAGGTTTTCGGGCAGCCACCAGGGACCGGACGCGAGGTTCCCCCGGCGCTCGTGAAGCGCGGGCTCCCCGGCATCCCAGTATCGCCACCGCTCGGAGCACAGCTCCAACCGCCGCTCCGGGCGCAGGAACAGCGGGCCTGCAGCAGCTTACCTGAGCCGAAGCTGCTAGCGCCCAGCTCGCCGCGTTGCTGTGCACAACGAGTATGGCGAGGCGCCGCCTCCGCACCGGTGTCCTGGGCGCCAATCGACCGCACACGCCCCCTGTGAGCCAGGCCGGGGGGCCGGAAGGCGGTGCCCAGCGGGCGCGGGGGCCGAGCAGGGCGGAGAGGGGCGGGCCGGCGAGCGCTGGCTGCCACCGGGTGCTGCCCCTCGGGGGCCAGGGAGCGCCCTGAGCCGGGGCAGACAGCCGGAGCTGCTCCTGCGCCCGGACCTTGCGCGCGAGGAATCCGGGGGTAAACGGGCACCCTCAGCGCCTCCCTGGCCCGCAAGCCAGGCAGAGGACACCGGCGCTGAGAAACTGTGCCCTTGGCTGCCCGATCTGCCAGCGGCGCCTGTCGGGAAACCAGCAACTGGGAGGGAAGCCTGTCCCTTCCAAGGTCCCCTTCAAGGACCAGAGCGCAGAACCCGGGGAGGCGCGAGAAAGCGGCGGGAAGGGGGACGGAGAGGGAAAGAAGTGGCCACCCCGCGGGCGTGGTCGCGGCCCTGCGGAATAGAGTTCCCGAGTTCCTGCCGCAGAAGCCAGGGCCACCGCGCAGTCTCGGGTGGTGAGCCCAGAGGCCCTGTGGCCTTGCTTCTACTCTGGAGACCTTTCACTGGGGTCACTGGTGCAAGCGCCTCGCTGTGAGCTCCCTATGAACAAGGTATGGAGTCACCAGAGTCCCATTACAGTGAGACATAGGTCTTCAGTACCAGATCCATTCAGGCCCTATGTCCCAGCGCTGAGGACTAAAGCAAGCCCTGTGTCCCTTGACCCCTATATGGGAGCCTATGCGCACACCTTTCTGGTGCTCCACCGCCAGTGAGCAGCCGGAATTAAACTGGTAACTTTCCCTGCCCTTGAACCTGGAGTGTGGGGATGGGCTCGCTAATCCCTGTGCTATTTGTAACCTGCCCCGTGACACGGATCCACCCGTGCCAGTTTCCACACTAGAGGTCAAGGCGCTGCCAAAGGTGAGTCAGGTCAGAGGCGCCTGAGCCCTGGGGACTTCCCGGCACAGGCCTTTTCTCTCTCACTTCCTGTCCCACTCCGTAAAAATCCTTTCCAGAGCTACGCCCATTGGATTAGCCTCTTTTTTTTTTTTTTTATTACCTATCTGATACAGCAAGTTATTTGCAAGTCCTTGACACTGTGGGTGAAGTATGAGTTAGGCTTTGCTAATTTCCAGAGATAAGACTAGTAAAGAAGGGGTCAGAGGGAGGGATGGGATTGGGGAGTTGGAGTTCAGTTGCATACTGGACAATTCCAGCCACTGTAATGTGGAGGGAACATCCCTCCAGGGACAGAAGTGGACTTTCTCACAGCCATAGTCCCCTGGGCCCCTAGGAATACCTCCCTTAACTAAGCAACAGCAGATGACTAGCATCACAAGTAATAGTAACACCCAACAGCCCTGGCCCTGCAGATGTTCTGCATTTGAGCTGCCACCCATGGTTCTTTTCTCAGCGTTTCCAGCAGCTCTGAAAAGACTGGAACCAGAAAGAGAGAGGGGAGCTAGAAATGGCATTTTTTAGTTGAGGACAGAAGGCCTGGAGAGAGGAGGCATGCTCCATAGCTGGTTGATGTGAAGCAAGGCCTGAGCCTCAGTTCCCAACTGCCCAGTTTCCTCCCTGAGTTCACCTGTCACCCAAAGGACATGCAGTACAGTAAATTCCAAAGCCACCTCTTTATTGCATGCTGTTGTGTTGCCACGTGAGGGGTCAGTACAGACCATACTGTATCCTAAGACATCCCAGTCATCCAAGCCTGGGGTGGAGGTACCTTGGTCAAAGTGTCAAGATATAGCATTTTTTGGAAGGGCACCAAGATGCGTATGCCCAGCTAGTGAGCTAATAACCAGCAGAGCTGATTACACAACCAGAGCAGGCCCTGGGCTTTCTAAGAACTCAGGCCCTTACTATAAGATTTGTCTCCTCTGATCCAGCCCTGCCAACAACCCTTCATTGTGCAAAAGAGTTCCTGGTTCCTTACCCCACTTGTTCTTCTGTCTCCCTTATTTGAAAGTCAGTCCCTGGTTATGCTCTGTGCAGACCTGCAAGCTGTACCTGTTGATACAGCTGCCCCACTGGTACCACATGACTGCGGGCTCGCCACCCATGACAGAGCTGAATGCCCCAGCAACAAGGGCAATCAGATTAGCCTCCCCTTGGGATATCTGCTGCTTGGACTGTTTGTGTCTTTTGGAGTCCATTTGACTAGATTCAGCACCTTGGAAACTGATCATCGGTCCAGTTCAAAAGACATAACCCACCTGGCTTCAAGGTGCTTGCCCTCATAGTAAACCTAGTCAGGAAAGAAAGTGGATGGCCTTGTCACGACCCCAAACCTAGTGGCATTCCCCAGCCTGTGTGGCAGTGAAGGGGGAAAAAAAGCCTAGAATGAATCCTTAGAAAAAATAGCACCTCCATAGTGATTTCTATAGTGGTTGTAAGTATCTTCCTGAGTTAAAGAGATCATATTGTAATGATGTATGCTCACCAATGTTTATAGCCTCGCAACTCATAATAGCTAAATCTTGGAAACTGTCTGTATATCCATCAACAGGTGAATCGATTAAGAAAATGTAAAATGTATACACAATGGGGTACTATTCTGCCATAAAAAGCACAATCTCGAGTCATTTGTAGGAAAATGGATGCACCTTGAGACCACCATGTTAAATGAAACAAATCAGACATGTAGGCTTAAATATCATATGGTTTCTCCTCTTACATGAGAAACCCAGAGTAAAAATCAAAATAAAAATAAAAAATAGATAATAGTAAGTAAGGAAATGATCTCTCTTAAAGGAAAGGGGGTTCAAGGGATGGGTAGGGAAGGGGAAAGGAAGGGAAGGGAAAGGGATGAACAAAGGAATTAAGATGTGTTATGTACGTGTACCAACTCCACACAAGGAGTGTAAACATTACACACTTACATACATGCACCAATAAACTTAGATAATAAACTAATGAATTTAAGAATGAAAAATTGGGACAAGATTTAAAAATGGGAGCTTCAGACTCAGTCAGGGACGATAGAAGAATAAACCTTCTTTTTGTGTTTATTTATTCCACACATATTTACTGAGCACTTAACCACATACCAAGATGCAAGACAGAAAAATACTTTGCCTTCAAGGAACTTATGGTATTGCAATAAGGAGAAGGCAACAAAATACGGAGAATATCCAGAGTAGGCTATGGAGAGCACTGAATCACAGGTGGGGATTCAACTTGCTGTAGACATCCCCATTTAAATAAGCAGGTAAGGAAGGCATCTGTGAAAGTGACACTGCAGGCAATTGGCGGGAATGAGGAGACACTGTATTATCTGCAAGTGCATAACAGATTGCCCCCAAACTTAGAAGCTTCAAACAACAAAAGCTGACTATCTCTGGGTGTCTGGGGGCCAGGAATCTGGGCGGTTCTGGTTGGAGGGCTCTCGGGAGGCTGCAATGGAGCAAGCAGCTGGCCAGAGCGGCAGGTGTGTGGAGGTGTGTGTGACGAGTAGGGGGTCTCCTTCCAGCATGGCTCACACAGAGGCCGTGGGCAGAAGGCCTGTTTCTGTGTCCAGAGCTACCTCTCCAGATGCCCTCATGATTTGGGAGCTGGCATCCCCTAGCACAAGCCACCAAGGTAGAGTCAGATATAGGGGAAGCCCCTGGGCTTTTTAATGGCTTAGCCTCTGAAACCCAGCACCATCACTTCTGCTTTACTCAAGCCCTTTGGATCAAGCCACAAATGAGCAAGGGTTACACTCTAAAAGGGAAGAGAGCCAAATAATTCATAAACATATTTTGTGATGTTTGGAGGAAGAAGGGAAGAGCATCTGGGACATAGGTAACACCTAGTAAAAGACCCTGAGGTAGGAGCACTCACATTAGCATATTCAGAGAAGGAAAAGAGGCTGGGGTTGGGGGAGCTAGTGGACAAAGCAGGCAGGAGTAGGAGAGGAAGAGACAATGTGTGTGAGTGTGTCTGTGTGTGTGTGTGTGTGTGTGTGTGTGTGTGTGTGTGAGAGAGAGAGAGAGAGAGAGAGAAACCAAGTGTATCAGGAATTCCACAGGGCAGCAGGGGGTTGTGGAAGTTTCATGGGGAGAGGACAGTTTCAGACACCTTGCTGTTGGGTGTGGTGGCACATCCCTATGTCAATGTTCTGATAGGCTGAGGCAGGCAAATACCAAATTTGAGCCCTGCTCAGGCAATTTAGCATCTTAGCCAGGCCTTGTTTCAAAAGACAAAATAAGAAAAGGCTCTGGGCTGGGGATTTAGCTAAGCGGTTCGGTGGCCTGCCTTGCCAAGTGCAAGGACCCGAGTTCAATCCCCGGTACTGTTCTACTGATCCTCAGGTCTGTTTTTTTGCCAATACCATTTAGTTTTTATCATAGTAGCTCTGTAGTATAATTTCAAGTCATGGATTGTAATGTCCCTTGCCTTGCCTTTGTTTCCTAGAATTGTTTTTGCTATTCTAGGTCTCTTCTGGTTCAAAATGAATTTTAGCATTGTTTTTCCTAATTCTGTAAGATATGATATTGGAATTTTGATCGGGATTGCATTAAATCTGTGTCACAATTTTGGGAGTATAGCCATTTTCCTTTTATTGGTTTTTCCTACCCAAGAACAAAGGATGTCTTTCCATTTTCTGATACCATCTTCAATCTTCTTTTTCAGAGTACTAGATTGATTTCTAGATATTTCATTTTTGGGGATGTTATTGTGAAAGCTGTTGTTTCCCCAATTTCTCTCTCAGTAAGTTTGTTATTCCTGTACAGGAATGCTATTGATTTTTGAGTACTGACTTTGTATCCAGCTATGCTACTGAATTTGGTTATTAAATCTGGAAGTCTTTTGGTGGAGCTTTTGGAGTCTTTTATGTAGACTATCATGTCACCCAAAAATAATAATTTAACTTCTTCCTTTCCTATCCTTGTCTTATTCCTGATTTTAGAGTGAACGCTTTCAGTTTCTGACCTTTTAGCATGAAGTGGCTCTTTGTTATAGATGGCTTGTAAGAGATTCAGGCCATCTTTTTTTTTTTTTTTTTTTTTTTTTTTTTTCCAAGG